GGTATTCCTAATTCTTTTTTAAGATTTTGTAAAACAATTTTGACAGATTCAAATGAACATGGATTGACAGAAATTGGATTACCCATGAGAATAGAAGGAGGTTCTTTGTGGTTATGGTCTAAAAAACAATATGAATCAATTTTACATCTACTTTTATCTGTGAATTTTGTCTTCTTCTTGTTCTTGATTAATGATGAAATGGTATCTTCTGGAGACGTGAGGCCAGGGCGTTGCTGCGTTGCTAAAACCTGTAATCTTTCTTTAATAAAATTTTCTCTGAGATCTCTAAAAATGTCTTCATAATACTTTGTAATATTTAAAACTTCATTAATACAATCTGAAATTGAAGAATTGTACAGCCAGTATCTAGGAGAAAGGGCATCGATTGTCTGTAAATCATGAGAGGGTTTAGAAAAGAAATGCACAACAGTTGTAACTGTGCTAAGTATAGCCTTAGCGTCAAAACGCACTCTCCAGTTCCTTGCAAGAACTTGGTTATTGTCAAAGTATGTTATAACATCGTACAATAAAGGAACTTGCACTGGATTTTGTGAATGTTGATCAATCCAATTCAGGATTGAAGTATAACTCCCAGCTGGGTGCGCACAAGAATAGAGGTTGCAGACTGTCTTGCTGCTACAAACGTAATAGTTTAATAGATTTACACTAAAGGAAAATGGTAAAATGATATTGTTTGCAACCAGAGAATATAAATGCTCGATGGCAAAGACAACCTTTGTTTTCTCAGAGGAAGACATGTTCTTGAACTCTTTCCCGCAAAGCGACTCTAAAAAAGAAGTAAGGACGCTGTCTCTTTCCATAACCCATTTATCAATGTCACAAGTTTTTAGAAAGTCTATGTTTTTGTATTGGCCACTCACATTTTCAGATATGTCACTCCTCATTAACTTGCATTCTCTATGACCGATGGCCTCCGCAATTCTTTTCACATTCTTTTCAGATATATTATTTGTTCGAATTATACATATTATTTGATTAACAAGTTCATCTTGTTCACTTTTATCACTGGCTAGTAATTGTTTTTCTGCATACGCCGCACAAGATGTACAGATGTACACACAACTTCTGGTAAGGTACCCATTTTCTATTAGGTAATGTATAATTTGTGCACGAATTTTATTGCTTGAAATTCTGTACACTTTATAGCTGGTGTCTTTTGAAAAATTACCATGTTCCTTACAGCTACAAAGGGGCATGGTTTTTCTATAAAAAATATATATATATATATTCATTGATATAAACGGAGTTGCGCCCCCCCCTTTCCACATTGAAATAATAATCTTAAATTCATAAATACATTTAGTAATACACGTGCCCCATAAAAATATTTAAAGCCTTACACTAATAACTAAAATAAAATCAAATATACGCCAAACTCTTCACTTTTGCCAAAAATTAAATCTGACTTTGCATTCCTACATTATTAATCAAAGTTGGCTTCCATACTTTACAAGAAAGTAACGGAAAATTTACCGTTAACCGGGTTTCCTCTGCAACTACGTGCACCACAGTACATCTGGTTTGACGGGAACTGATTAAACAGCACACAAGACGCAGGGCATGGTGAGTTTTATCCCAGAATTAAGTTTTAAAACTTATTTCACTTATAAACAGAACTCATCACCATCACTTTCAGAACTTTCCAATGTTGAGCGCCTCAAATGACGCACTTTTATACCCTCTTTTTTGTGAGTGAGTAATTTATACGCACGGGTGAACATACTGACAACAACTCAGAATTCGACTTCTTAGATTTTATTTATTATTATTTTTTTGTAAATTCATACATGAAAAATAGCTTGATAAAGCTATTGCCAATAGCTTGATAAAGCTATATAGCTACATAAAGCAATATAGCTTGTTAAAGATATTGTGCTGGACCTGTTAAAAGTCTATAGTAAATAAAATCTGTCTTTAAAAAAAAAAAATACATTTTACAAATGACATTTAATATGATTAGAGTATAGGAATCCATATATATATATATAAGAGATATTCTTTTGCATTACATTTATAAGAGTCATTGTCTCATGTAATTTAAATCATAATAACAAAAAATGGGTTTTATTTTTCTATACAGTCCTCAAACCTGGAAGATATGTTTTGTTCCTAACCAATCCATTCTTTAAATGAATTGAAGCCTGGCTGCTGGTCTTCCTTTGGGGAAATACACAGTTAGTCAACTTAACATAAAAACAAAAACAAAACTTGAATCTAAAAAAAAGTTTCAATGAGATATCATTTTAATTTATTTAATTATTATTATTAAGATAATTATTTTAAATGTTTATATTTTTAAAATGGAATAAAAAAATAAATAAATCTGATAATGGAAATCTATACCATAAAGATAGCAAGTTTTGACTCCAATTACTGATAAATTTCTGAATTTTCCATTAAAATATTTGACATTATATCACAGGGGAAAGAAAAAAAACTACTTGAGTGTTTCTACTGACCCCCCACCAGAGATCTGCTTATGAGTGCATGGGGATTGCGGTGGACCTTCATCTCCTGTTTTAAACAGACTTTGGAGGCTGGCGCATGAATCTTCATTCACAAAAGGTACTTTCAATATCAATAAGGCCACCCATGTATTTTAAAAAGATGTCTTTTACATAGGTGTATAGAGAAACCAAAGTGTCAGAACACAAACAGGTCAGGACAATCACTTATGCAGTGTACTTCCATAGGAAGGTTACACACTCATATCTTTGGAGGAATGCTATACCAAAAGACAGTTAAGATAATAGGGTAGTTATATTTCTCTAAAATTTTAGGTATCAACAGTGACTGTGGAAGTTCCATTATTCTTGGGAGTTATGTCCAGCAACACAAACCAATCATATCCAGCATGTACATTGGATCTGCTAACTTTACTTTAGGATACCTAGGATTTTGAAAGTTCACCATGTTCAGGTTTTTTTTTTTTTTTGTTTTTTTTTTTTGGTTTCGATATTGTATGTATGAAGAGAATGTAGACTTTGATTGGTGTCAATAACAGTCTTTAAAAGATAAAAATGTTAAATTAGAATACAGCAAAATAAATAACCATTGGTAATTACTTAAATACTGATACAGATTTGAACATTGACAAAAATATTATTTAGTAAAAAATTATGACAATAAGAGAAGACAAAAGTTAACTTGATGACTTTTTGTCAATAAAATATTTTCAAGTCATTTCTTGTACTTTATTATCATATCAGGAAAGAAGACATTTTACTTGGTAAATGAAGGAGAGAAAAATTGCAAGGGAGGAGGTGTATAGTTTTCATGGTGCATTTTTTAAGTACTATGACTAGGGTGAAGATGGGGATTTCACTTGGATAACTGAGGCTTGGTTAACTGAGGAACAGAAACAACACATCTCTGTGGTATGGATTATTTATGAAGAGTTATCACAGGTAGCATTTAATTTTTTGGAGAGAAAAAAAAAACTGATTCTAGATGTACTGAGATATCCAGGACTTTGAGATTAATGTTCAAGATAGCAAAGTAAAATGAACATGTATTAACTTGTTTTGCAAAAAAAATCTGTTTTTAGTAGAATTTGCTAGGGCTGTATCAATATATCGATATATCGATACGTATCGATATTCAAAAAAAAAAAAAAAATCGTATCGAAAAATAACTTCCAATACCTATCGGAGAGACAGTTTTCTTCTAATTTTGTTAAAAAGATAGGAATTTCAATCACGAAAGATTATATTTTACTTTTTTGAATTAAAACTGTTCAATAATTAAATGATTTGTAAGGAAATAACACAGTTTTTATAATTATTACAAAATACACAGAGAAATTTATTTGAACATGTTGATTTTACTGTCATCAAAAAGTTTTAGTTTGAAGTGTTATTTGTAAAGACAATGAGACAAGAACTTTAGATTGAGTAATAAAACACTTAATTATTATAAAATTTATGCATTAAAATGATTTAGAAGCCACTTCTGATAGACATTTTTAGAATTCAATATATCGCATATCACTTTAAAAAATATTGTATCGTATCCTATCGAAAACTTTGGCTCAATACACAGCCCTAGAATTTGCTTTCTTTAATACAGAGATTTTTCCAATTCTATTCACTTATGTATAAAAAAAAATTTGTATAAATTAATTATGCTCAATCAACTTTGTGAAATATTCCCAACTTCCAATGCTTCTTATTTGCATTAAAAAAACCTGACTCAGATAAAATTAAATTGTTTTCTCATTTATTTTACAAGAAATAACATGCTGACAGTGAATCTAATCATTTTTTAAACTGGTTACAGTAATGTTTCCAATTGTTTTAAAATGCTCAAATGCAAGTTTATTTCATACACAAATACCTTAAATGTATAGACTAAATTTACTTATGGATTAACCCCTTTGTAGTAAAAAACATTTTATTAGGTTTAATTTTCTTGTTTATTCTCTCATATATTTCCTAATTTAAGTATTCTCAAATTATTGATTACATAAGCAAACATAATATATACTGAATACCCTGAAATGAAATGGTTACATATGTAAGATGTGTAACACATAATGTACAACTTTTAAGTTTACAAGATTTTAAGCTACCCATATTATACAATAAGACTACTTTTTTCAAAGTAATGAAAAATTCTTTGCAAAAATATGTCTTTATAAATGCAAAAGATAAATGTTACAGTTTTTTTAAAACATAGATTTTGCTACACTAACAGGGTATTCTGTATGACCAACTTTTCATATCAGTTCTTTACATTATCATATTTTAACAGTGATGATTATTATTTTTTTTTTCTGCAAGCAATGAAAAAAAATATTAAAACTACAATCTAAATATATTATTGTTCAATTTTAGCTCTCCATAAACAGATGATTAACAGATTATTAATAGCTGGCCATACCAAGTTTGAACCTGACCACCCCATTTTGGAGTATAGAAGGTAAATTGGAGAAAGTTAAGAATTTTTAGAAGAGGGAAATTTATTTTATCAGAGGTAAATTTATAGATGGGGATAATGAATTGGTATTTTCATGTTGTGCAATCATCCTTACAGCATTGGAAATTTTTATTTAATTTCAGATAGCACATTCTGTTCATCAGTCAAGGAAACATATACACAGCCTTCTACATATTGTCCAGAATCAGAAGAAGCCAGTGGTGTTTTATAATTGAAAACCTCAGTGACATCTCTTCAGAATTTTTTCTAGACCTTTGAAATTTTAAACTAAAAAATCATAACATGTATATCACAGAGAGAAGACTATCCGTTTTTTTATTTATTTTTTTTTTATTTTTATTTTTTATTATTTTTTTTTTAAACATCACTTTAAAGTATGTGAGTGTCCATATTATTTGTATTCTAATAAATTTAAAGTTCTGAAAAAAAAGACATACCAGAAATATTCATGTATATTACCATTGAATAGATGAAAAAAAACCCTGATCTTTTAAATTTTTAAGCTGTACAAAAGTTATCATTCCAGGAAATTTGAAAAAATGTTGATGCATCTATACTCACATTAAAAACATTTTAATTTTTTGATATTGTTTTTGCTTGAGGGATGAGACAGGAAATTATTTATTTTAACTCTACCAAATAATATAAATTTTTTAATGTTGCATATTTTGATTTTCATGTTAAACTTTGTCTTTATGAGAAAAAACAAAAACAACAACAACAACAACAACAAAACATGAAGTGGAAAAAAAAAACCTTGCAGGAAAAAAAAAAACAGTTGGAATATGATGAGAGTTCATACTCATGCAGATTTTATTCTATAGTATTACCAAGAATTGAGAAAAAAAAGTAAGAAGATAAAAATGACATTAAAAAGAAAAAAAAAACAGAGAAATAATTCCATGAATTTTTTTTTTTAACCTGAATAAATCCATTTGATTTTTTCTGTCTGTTAACAAAAACAGCCTTTTCGAAAAGTCGATTATCCCCCTTTAACCATAGATTATTTTTCAAACCACAAAACAGGAGTTGGGTATTCAGTATAGAATGGGGAGGAAATGTAAAAGTTAATAAATGTAAAGATTTAAATGACATTTTTAAGGTATAGTGATCAATGGTATCCCTCATCTTTCTGTATTGTTAAAAATGAAAGATGATTTTTAAACTTTTAGACAAATCAAAGTTACATGTTATCTAAAATCACTTTTAAACTTTGCCAGAAAAAGAAAACTACCAGAAAAAAAAATGAAAGGAGTTTGTACTTACAAGTAATAGTCATATACCTCATTGCTTTTAATGAGTTATGGAGTTTGAGAAATATGTTTCTGAAGAAAAAACAAAATTACTTTGAGAAGTGAAAATTTTTCTTTTACAACAGAAAAAAAAGACATTTAATATCAGAAACTGTGTCATGACCATGTTTTTGGGACTTAAATTAAAATACTTGTATGGGATTTTATGCAAAATATACATACATATCACAAATATTTCAAAAATCACTCTTAAATTCCTCTTAATATTTGGGTTGTTTTCCCCATGATAGTTTCACAGAAAAGTATAAATTCAAGGTGTGAAATTAAAAACACTCAGTACTGTTGTTGTCTCAACCATGGGTAACACCTCTAGTAAAGAAATGAGTAAAGGAATGAGTAAAATTCAGTTTGGAGAGAGAGTTCATTTAGAGAAAGATGTAGACAGAGGTATACCAATTCAATTACATGATGATGGGGCTATTGAGATCATTTCTCAACAAGAATATATCCAGTTAAGTCCAAAAAAAAAAAAAGAGTGATCCTAATGATGCGAGAGATTACATAGAAAGACCCTTGATTACAGAAGAAGTAAATGAGGAATATAACCCTTTATTACCCATAGAGGGTGAGGGTAACCTGGATTACCCTGTAAGACCCTTGACTAGAGAAGAAGCCAAGCTTATAGATGATAAGAAAAAAGAGATGTCAGAAAAAAAAGATTGATAAAGACACTGGATTTTAAACCCACAGAGGAGAAGAGTCCACAAATAATGAAAGAAATTCAAACTCAACTCTTGGAAGATATTAAGACTCATTATCAAAATAAACATAAAGAAAATACAGGTAATCTTTTATATTGCTCAGTTAAAAATAGACAGATTTAGAATAGCCAAAAATTGGATATTTGATTTAACTGGGTGCAGACAGGAAGATGTAGATCAAATCATTGGAAGTGATTATCAATACTTGATCTTACAAAAAGAAAGGCATCCAGAAACTGGAAAACTCATCATGTGAGAGGATTCATTCAAATGAAATACAGCTGTCATGAGAGATATATGTACAAAAAGATTCATGGGTTAACTTGTTTTGATATGTTTCACAGTACCCCAGAATTGGAAAGAACCTTTTATAGATAAGGTGACTATGAAGAATATGGGGTTCCTAAATCTGAAGTGAGAAACAGAGAATTAGTTCCAAGAGATTGTAGATTTACCTGAATATTTTAAAAAAAAAAAATATTGAATATACCCCACACTTATGACAAAATAGGTGTACATTCTTCATTCACATTAAGTGTATGTGTATGTATGTGTTATTGTTTGATGAAAAAAAAAATAAAAAATGTGTGTTTTAATGTGAATTTATTTAAAAAAGGGTTTATTATTATTAAAAGTTAAAAAATTTAAAAGTTTTTAAAAAATTTATAAGTTAAAAAATTTAAAAGTTTTAAAAAAATTTATGAAGTTATAAAAATTTTTTTAAAAAAAGTGACCTGGTGTTATAACTTGAGAGAAACACACACACACACAATGTTTCTTGTTTTATTGACTGTACAGAAGGCATCTTTTCGAAACAATTGGGTGGCCGTTAAAACGGCCGTTATGCTATGTTCTGTCAATATCTGGATCAAAAGAAGTTTTCTGTTCTGGCTGAGGATAGAAACGACAACAGTTTAGGAGAGAAGATAATCCAGCAGACATCTCGGACTTTAATTTCGATCGGATTCACCACACCAAGGATATATACACCAACAATTTAGGAGAGAAGATAATCCAGCAGACATCTCGGACTTTGATTTCGATCGAATTCACCACACCAAGGATAGAAACATCAACCGTTTTAGATGAGAGGAAAGGCCAACAGATGCGACAGGATATGAGAGGAAAGGCTATCAAATGCGTCAGGAACTGGAGGAAGAGAAGACACTGGATCACCCCGGTGAATCTGGAGAACTGGGTCATCGTGCTCACCAGGAGAAACAGTCCCAAGGAGTCGGATTCATCATACCAAGAATATATGCAGCAATCGCTTGGAGGAGAAGATAAGCCAACAGATGCGACAGGAACCAGACCAAGAGAACGAGAAGACACTGGAGGATGTAAAAGTCTAGCCGTGGAGACGGAGTATGGTAAAAAGATCCATAAGCCGCTACTAACAGAATGACGCTGAGTTCTAGAGAGCGTCGGTATTTATGCACAGAGCACGGACGGAAAAGAGAGCACCTCGATGGCGAGAGCCGAAATCTCATGGCGAACTGAAATTGTGTGTGATTTGTGCTTTGGGACCTATATATTTTCATGGATTATTTAGTAGGTGTTCATAGTAGGATTCCAGCATGATACAGGTCTAAACAAGGTAAGTTTCCTGCTTCTTTTTATACTAGAATTGATACATGACATGCATCCGTCGTGGAGAAAAGAGTAAAAAACCTCGAAGCGACGAGGTGAAATTCAGTGACCCGAGTGTATAAAATAAGCCTTTTCAGTCTTTTTAGAGGGTGAGACCGGGAAAACTCATGTGGGTTAGGGAGAAGGGATCTAGGGAAGAGTGCCGATATAGTTTTTATTTCAAAAGAATCATGATCAGGATAAAAAACAAGCTCAAATAGGTTTAGCTATAAACACAATGGGGGGTCAGAGGTCATGGATTTTCAGAAAATCATACTATGAGATACATAAGGATTCTTGAAATCTACCCTTTTTCTGATTGATATTTTAAGAAAAATAAAATGTTATGAGGTTCAAAACAATTCGTATTTACTTTTTAGATCCTTTACAAGTCTTGATGGTTTGTTTTTTTACCAAAATCGAACACTGTAGTGACACTGGGGTGTTAACAACATAGGACATACACATCCCCTGATTTTTTAAGTAACCAAATGTTTTATGAAAAAAAAATTTACATGAAAAGATTCGTACTGCTTTGAAAATCATTCGTATTTTACTTTATAGATCATGATCCACTCAAAAAGCTCATGGATTGAGTCAAAGTATGGCAGAGAAATTCCCACAAGCCAATCTCTATAGGGACTAGAAATTTAGCCGTAGAAGAAGATAGAGGAATTCCAGGCACTATTAAGGTGTTTCCCTCACAATCCCCTGTGGTCATTTGTTTACTAGCTCAATGGGATTATGGAAAAGCAAGTCACAGACCTAAAAGAATTTCCACTTATCAGGATACAGCACAAAACAGAGAGCAATGGTTTCAAACTTGTTTACAAGAAATTTGGGAAAGTTTACCTTACCAGACTTATGCTTTTCCTTACAAGATTGCATGTGGACTAGCCCAAGGAAATTGGACTCATTATAGACATTATATTGAATAATTTGCACACACTTATGACAAACAGATGTACAATTCTTCATCCACATTAAGTGTATGTATGTATGTGTTGTTATTGTTATTTGATAAAAAAATAAATGTTAAAAATGTGTGTATGTATGTGTGTGTGTTATTGTTTGATGAAAAAAAAAATGAATTTAAAAATGTGTGTATGTGTGTGTGTGTTATTGTTTGATGAAAAAAAAATAAATTTAAAAATGTGTGTATGTATGTATGTGTAATTGTTGTTTTGATGAAAAAAAAATAAATAAATGTTAAAAATGTGTGTTTTGATGTGAATTTATTTTTTTTTAAAAAAGGGACTTTCCTTTTGATTATCATTATTATTATTAAAAGTTTAAAGAAAAACATTTATAAGTTTTAAAAAGTTATAAAAATTTTTTTTTTTAAAGTGACCTGGTGTTATAACTTGAGAGAAACATACACACAATGTTTCTTGTTTTTTACCCACTGTATAAGAAGGTAATCTTTTCTTTTTTACCCACTGTATAAGGTACTCTTTTTTGAACACACACAAATCGTTTCTTTTTTTTTTTGGACTGTATTTTTAAAAAGATCCTCTTTTTTTTTCTAAGATACAATCGTTTCTTTGACTGTATTTTAGAAAAAAAAGATTTTTTTTTTTCTAAGACACATAACGTTTCGTTTATTGACTGTACAGAAGGCATCTTTTAGAAACTATTGGGAAGCCCTTAAAAGGGCTGTTTGGTAAAAAACACTTTTTGGGGTTTTTTTTGGTTTTTGTAATTTTTTTTTTTGGTTTTTTCATTTTGGATTCTGGTAGGGGAGTCAGCTTCCTCTCTAATAGGACAGCAGCTGGTGGACC